AAAAGGGCGGAAAGAGACTGTGACGTGACCTCAGCTGTTTCACGGAGGATGCGATTGTTCAGCAGTCCAGCGGTTTTACGTTGAATGGGAAGTCTGGATAGCGTGTCAAATACGGACTGTACAGAGAATGGTTGTATGGAGAACTTCACAGTGGACGTGGGTGTTAAAATACCAGCTGAGTGCAGGTCAGGTGTTAGCAGTGGCGCCTGGCTGTAGCTCGCAAACACTTTGGCTAGGAGATTCGTCTTTTCCGTATTACTCGTGGCTGGGTAGGCTTGGTTGTCATGGTAGAGGTCAGGGATAACCGGAGACGGGCGATTCACATTACAAAGGATCTTTGCTTTGCGCCACCATGTACGGGTTCCATGATGCTGAGCCATGTCTCTCGCCATCCTCTCGTGATAATGGCGTTTCGCCTTCCGGAGCAAGGAAGTAAGACAGTTACGTGAGAGTCTATACGCTATCCAACTATCTGTAGATCCGAGACGTTTGGCCTTGGCGAAGAGGCGATCCCGAAGCCGCCTCTGACGATGGTGAACAGCAGAGTACCAAGGCTTGTTCGATGGAAATGTGCTTCTCCGGACAACGGGAACAAACAACGATACAGAGTCTTCCAGCGCTGTGCGCCACAATGACCAGGCCTCATCAACTGTTTGCGCATTTTGGACGGCATCTAGCAAGGGTAGTTGCCACACGTGGTTGTTAAATGCTTGCCAGTCCGTGTGGGCAAAGTCGAGCCAGGTGTTTTGTGCAGAAGATATTTGGGCTGTGGAGCCTGCTGATCGGTTGTGGACGACATCGAAAACTACAGGACAGTGATCAGATACCGGTGGGAGGATGGTGAGATGGGAGACTGCTATTGGAGCATTAGTGATAACTAGGTCGAGTAGTGATGAACGAATGATCACGTGATGGGTATACTCACACTTGGCTGTCCCTGCGGGAATTTGCGGAAAAACTCTCGAAAACTTGCGCAAGAAATTGCGGCAGAAAACAACAAAAAATGCGACGAAAAGTGCGGAATGATTGTGAACTTGCCAAGAATTCGCGGAATTATTTACAGAAAATTGCGGATTTGGGCCAAATTACGAAATTTGTGGCATCGTATATCTACTCGGGAGTAGTCCGAGTCATACTGTGCACATAACTTACAGGATCATGGAAAGCACTGCGTGAAAAGTGCATAAAAAAGTGAGATATGGTGCAGAAAACAACAAAAAACGCGGGAAATCGCGGATTTTGCTGAAAATCACGGGTTTGGGCGAAAATCGCGAAATTTGTTGCATCCGTGGAATCGCGATTTCCTGGAGGGGCAGACTTGGAGAGACTTACCTGATCTAGGTGGAACAAGAGAGAAAGAAAAAGCCTGACATCCATGTCTGATTGTGTTTGAGACTGCCACCCACGCACGACATACATGCGGTGGCATTCAGGCCCTTGACAAATCAGCACGTCCCGAGAGCGTGTTTTCTTAAGCCTCTTATACGGGTAATCACAGAACATGATTTCACTGGCCTGACCGCGGCAACAACTGCAAAGCAAAACAAAACAAAAAATGTAAATAAAAATAAAATGAAACTTTACAATCTGCACACAATGACAACTCCATTTTTGAGATTGTCTCTGTTGATCAGTCAGTATCCGTTACCCATGTTAGCTAGTTGCCAACAAGGCGGGCTTCAGCAACAGGAACATCTGGAGAGGCGTCATCCATCCCCCTATGCCAGGGAAATGGTGAGCGAGTCCCCCGCAGACACATGATGTTAGCACGCAGCAAAGCAAAGGCCAGCCGGCTCCGGATAAGCGAGATATTATATGGGTATGATACCCAACTGATCCACGCTCCTCCATAAGGACAGCCAGCCGCCGATAGAAAGCAGTAGCAGATAGATAGAAAGCAGTAGCAGCACGGCCCATACCACCAGTTGTTGCCAGGACAAGTGGAGTGAAACTAAACACGCCGGCATGAAGGTATAAAAGGAAGACACCTCTAGGGGTGGTGGTCGGGGACGTGGAGTTTTCAGCTTGTGAGTTTCAGGTCGGTACGCTCGAGGGCTTTGTTGATTCAGGTCCGAGAGCGGCCCAAGGCCGAAGGCCGCGGCCGCTCGCAGCTTGTGAGTTTCAGGTCGGTACGCTCGAGGGCTTTGTTGATTCAGGCCCGAGAGCGGCCCAAGGCCGAATGATTCAGGCCCGAGAGCGGCCCAAGGCCGCGGGCCGCTCGCAGCTTGTGAGTTTCAGGTCGGTACGCTCGAGGGCTTTGTTGATTCAGGCCCTCGAGCGGCCCGCGGCCTTCGGCCTTGGGTCGCTCTCGGGCCTGAATCAACAAAGCCCGAGAGCGTACCGACCTGAAACTTCACCTTGCTTGAGATGAAACTTCACCTTGCTTGACATGAAACTTCAAGGGGAAGTTAAAGGGAAACTGAACGTCAAAAATAAGTATGGCTTATCCGAAGGAGAATTGGGCACTGATTCCGATGAGCTATGTCTCGAGCCGATCAGAGAAGAGGAACCGTGTCAAATTAATAAATAACACCTTCCATATTTGGAAATTGGGCTTGATGACGTGCGTATTGCTTAGCTGTCACCATGCTGTGCATGTTCAGCAGTGTAATTGAATGGAAGAAAACAATTACTTTGGTGTTTTGAAGCTCTATTTCGTTCCCTGACGGTAACCAAATCTAGATGTAGGAATCTGTTGAGCAGGAGAGTGACACATGTCTTCCCGAAGGCTGTCCAGGCTGCAGTGGTGATGAAGAAGACACGATCATCACCCCGAGATCGATTGTAGCGAATTGGAAAACTCATGGTGAATTTGCTTCCACTCCAAGGCAATGTCGAGGTATGAAGGGTGCTTGTACTGCCTTCCAAAGTGAAGAGGAGATGAACATGGCTGTGCATAGCTGTTGTTCTATGCCAACTTACCTACTCTTGCTGGTACCGTAGTGCTATATTGCGAATTTCGTGGACGAACAACTCTCTAGTCACTAGTGGCTAGTGAGCAACACTAACAGGTGAGATTTTTCAATTTGACAAAAATTGTTTTTGTTTGAGAACTGACAGTGGTAGTCATTAGACTCAGTAGGTGTCTCTCTGCTGCTTCTTTCCCTTCATCGGTAGGGTTGTGCTTGAAGTAAAAATAAATAGAAACTTCGCCACAAGAAGACCATAGGTCTGTGGGGACTGCCCTAGAGAAATATGAATAAATACTATACTACTATTATCATTCACGCCGGAACTACTGCTGCATAGCCCCAAGTCTGAAGACTTGGCAACTTCACGCCTGCACCTGACTCTTGCGCTATGATACGCGTCGCCTATGACCACCCTCAGAATTTCCCACCTTGCTCCCCCTTATGTTCTGGCTGCCCGTTTTGGATCCATCAGTTGCCTGATGATCGTAGTAATACGTGAAACTCAGAGTTGTAACAAAGCTTCCAAACTCTCTCTTTTGCTAAGCACTATAACCAGCTAGCACACATAAACATCAAATATCAAATATTATCATATAATTATAATATTCGCAACATCACAGTCTACCACAATTTACAACACCAGCATCTAACACAATAATTTCACACTGTGTCCAGCAGTCTCCAGCCACGATCCCTGTTAACACTTGGACGTCTATCACGAATGAACATTGCTTCACGTATACGACTATTCACAAGGGACGACTGCTTGGCGAGAATTGATGCGTTGTGATGGGTGTAGATGTGATTGCTTGTTGTGGGTGGTGTTCTGCATAGTGTTCTCCCCATGGCGTCTCCAGCGCTTGCGCTTTATTTGTATTTTATTATATTTAAGGATTTCCCAAAGGCTTTGGGCCTGTCGAGGGATGTACCATTACAAGTAGTTCCACACGACGTACGTTTCGCCGCATGGGCCATGACGGCTAATCATGCATGTGTGCAAAGTTGAACTCGGATGGTGAGCCAATTAAATTATGGTGAAAAAGGAGAAGGACGAAATGTTATGAGCTATGACTAACTGTCCACCAACGTAAACTAGATCTTCTACTGTCAGCGAGTGCGACAAAATGGCACAAAACTGTCAAGGAGTGCTGAGACATTCGGCGACCTGACACCTAGCTCCAACACTTCTCCAAGGCGCAAACCAACAACCTTCCAACTTGGAAGGCTCAGGTTCGGAAAGGTCAAGAGGGAAGGAAAGAGCAACGAAGAAGAGCACGAACTACGCCCCACGGCAACAAATAATGCCGAAAGGTACTGGATGATGACGAAACTAGTAAGACTATTGGACAAGTTATTGCCCCCGCTTGTTTTTCATGATCCATTGCTTCTTGCCTCCCCGGGTAATTTCCATTCAGCTGTTTCTGGTTAGTATCAGTTCTATCACACATATCAATTGTCCTTATTGGCGTCACGCCATCTTGGAATAAAAGCATAATAATAATAATAATAATAATACTAATCTAGGATCGTTTCTCGTCAGTGCGCTGACCAATGCAATGATCCCATCAGTTTCGTTTTCACACTACAGTCGTTCTCCACACAGGCCGTCGACGGAGCATCTGCCAGCACTGGATCGAAATCGAAACTACATGCACGCGTCAGACGTGCATTATAACTGTTGGTTACAGTGCCTGTGTACCCTGCATGCTGTCACATCACCTGAAGGGATGACTCAGGGGGAAGTCCCAAAGTTCCAGAACGAAATAGAAAATAAAAATGAAACTACCACACTGTAGATCTACTACTAGTATACTATAACTACAGTGCTGGCAACTGAAATCCGACCCCCTGGGCGGTGCGTTCACTTTCTAGCGGCCTCTATTTCGTAGCGTTACGATGTGAGCGCACCACCCAGGGGGTCGGATTTCAGTTGCCGGCACAGTATAATGTATGTGATATTAATTACAGCAGTACATTGTATTATGCTTCCAAGTGCACAAAGTATGTACATATAACCCCACTGAGTCTGTTACTCAGATCGCTGCATAGACTCCAGCCGAGTACCATGCGTATGTCGAGGCATGCAACACCTGTTTATAGCGTGCGTGCTAATGGTTTGGTATGGTGAAGAGCACGATGTGATTATAATTATGTTAGTCCTTCCCATAGATCAGCGGACAGATGTGAAGCTGGCGAGAGAAGACAAAATATTCGCCGTGAACTCGCAGACAGGATATACTCTCCTCTAGGTCGCTAACCGTGCGGCGCCTCTCGGCCAAGAAGCTGAGAACTAGACACTGCAATTCCGTTTAGGCAAGGGCCTGTACGGAAAGGGTCGGCCGTCCATTAACGCAGACCAGAGCTCGCAGGCCAAGCTAAGAGAAGGCTACGGCACGCACTCACTTGCAAAAAACAAACTCTAGGTGTGCGGCATGGCGAGTCAATCGGCTAGTGTCCAGAACCAGAGTGACGATGGGATGACTCGACTGATCATTACGCCAAGACCTGGTGTAGCGGAGGATCTGCGACCGCCGGAAGAGATTGGGTGTTTCTCTCTGGATGACCAGCGTGCCATATTCATGGACAGGCGAGAGGCGCGTCGCTGCATCGAAATTCCAGATGGCTCGCTAGCGTGGGATTTGAACGAAGGGTTTGCAGACTTTCAATGGAGAGACGAGGATAACATTAAAGCAGAGGGAATCAAGCCGATGCTGGAATGGATCATGGCACACCCAGCAGTTGTGAAGCGGTTCTCCAACACGAAGCGGTTCTCCAACACGAACTTTGTCTTGAAACGTGGAGTTATGACGGACATCATGACTGCGCCATACGAGTCGAAAAGCAAATTCCCCAAGGAGTGGCGTCTTAAAGTGTGTAGACATCGCAACACCATATACTTGTGCAAGGACGTGGAGTTTCCACAATGGAAAAGCTTCTCCAGTGCAAGCCCCCGTGAGCAACAGACGACACACTGGGGTTTTAAATTTGAATCCTACTGCACAGCCTCCGTCAATCCAGAAGCTGAAGTGAACAGCAAGCCGAATGACACCGCAGGATTTGACACAGTGGTCTACACGCAACTGGCTGATCATTCGTTCATATTAGCTGCGGAGGTGGATGGTGAGCTTGACCGACCCGGCCTATCACCGCCCTCCAACTATGTGGAGATGAAAACCCACAGGAACCTTCGTACTGCTTACCACACGGAAATGTTCCACCGCCACAAGCTCTTCCGTACGTGGGCTCAGTGCCATTGCATTGGTGTACCAGACATTCTGGTAGGCTTCCGAGATGATCATGGTATTGTGCGCAGTGTTCAAACATACAAAGCAGCAGACCTCCCAGCCATGTGCAAGGCCAAGGGCTATTGGAGTGATTCTGTGTGCCTGAATTTCGCGCAGGACTTCTTCGACTGGCTTTGGAGAAGCATCGAGGAGGCTGACCCTCTGCAGGTGCAGTATGAAGTGACATTTCAACGACCCTTCAAGAGCGTGTCGCTTCGCAAAGTTGAGTTAACCGACGAGAGCCAGGCAATACTCAGTCCGGCGTTTTTGATCTCCATGGCAGCGGCAGCTAAGGTTGGAGAGATAGATGACTCACAGCGCAAGGGCTTTGAAAGCAACGCCAGTCGCAGACTGTGAATCAGAGCAGCATTGGCAAGTTGTGCATCTGTCTCTTCCCGGGGCATCCTGTATTACGTTCCTAGATGGTCCAGTCAGTTGCAATGACTATGTATCCTCTCTTCTCTCTACCTCGATCGGATCCCCAACCCTCTTCACTTGGACTAGCCCAACAGTGGGAACACTAACACATAAAGTTACGATGCTAAGGAAAGTTTGTGAGTTTAGTGACAATCATATATTCTTTTCTGAATGCATAGGTCTGGTGGTTGTTTTGTTCACACACACTCTCTCTCTCCCTTTCTCTGTTTTCTCACGTACATGGACTCTGTGTTTTTTTTCACGCTCAAATTTCAGTGCCACAGTGCTGGCTACTGAAATCCGACCCTAGAGCGGTGCGTTCACATTCTAGCGTCTCTATTTTTGTAGTTTTACAATCCTGTGTTGGATCTTTGTCATGTGAGCGCGCCGCTCAGGGGTCGGATTTCAGTTGCTAGGACTGTACATTGTATGTTGGCCATTATTGTCCTTACTCTGTGCACTCATTTTACACAACCCATTCCTAAACAAAATCATCGTCGAAGTCGCAACCTCTTTTTCGTACTCATTTTACACTCGAACACCGCCATTCCGGCAACAGGCTCTCAGCTGCACCAAATAAATAACTTTGCCAATATTTCGCCCCAATGGGCGAAATATTGGCAAAGTTAAAGTTATCAAATTTTTGTTAAAACCCTGAAATTCCTTGTTCACCACTCACTGCACTCACTCAGTGATGTACTCTCACTGATTTCCGTCACAAGACCACCTTCTTAGACTTAGAGCCAACAAACTGTTCCTTGATGATGTGTGTAGATGCGTGATTGTCCTGAAATGATAGAGCGTTTTATTTTATTGCTTGCGATTTAAAAAAATGTCTCCTTGTCGAATCTTCAAAAATAGATAAATATCACGTGACATGATTGACGTGACGTCCCTTTCTACGAATGAGGTACATTTCCTACTCCCCGCTTTCTAACACAGTACCCTGACTGGTTGCATGGTTTGGTTGATTCTTATTTTTACTTCACACATTCAAACGTGATGACGACCCAATAAAATCATGGTGAAGGGTTGGCCAAGAAGCGGCTATGGCAGTTATTATATTTGGAGCTTCTCCGCGTTTGCATCAATGCAATGTATATATACACAGCATGTATAGCTTTCGCGTAAGCCGTAGCGACAACAGCCAAACAGGATATTGATGGCGATATAAAATGCGTGACGAAAATAGAATACAATTAAAACGAACAAACGAACAGCTCTTCCGAGTTGAATTTGAATTTGCTGTTCATTGCCAGGGCTCATCCATGAGCAGTAACATATCTCTCCAGGATACGGCCGCTGAGGTAGCTCTGGGCGATGTTCCTCAGCTCCTCAAGATCTGCGGATGTCTTGAAGGTCCTCCTAACCAGCTCGAGATCGTGTCTGAGCACGACCGGCAGAGTTGTGTGCGCCTGCCCCTCCAGGTAGGCTCAGTGGATGACTTCAAGTAGGAGCACATTGACAGGTTCGCCAGTGTATTCTGGTCCAGCCGTAGCACGTGCCCAAACAGACGCCAGCGGGCTCTCAGGACTGAGATGCCAAGTGGTGTTGAGTTTGTCCTCTTGTACAGGGTATTATTCTTGATCTTAGCTGGGTACCGTATGACAATAACTTTCCGTAGTAACTAGTTGTTGTCTGTGGAACGCATCAACTCTATGCATAGCGGTGCCAGTGAGGCCCCAAGTCCCAGCCGGTGCAGGGCAGGCGTGGCGAGTTGCATTCTCCGGGCAGCATCCTCGTGGTCACCAATGAGGGAGCCCAGCTTCTAGTCCGCAGTCCAGGGTGCAGAATTGTGACTTTTCGTTCGCCACGAAAGGGCGCCAAGGTTTGACATGACCAAATGAAAGAGCAAGAGCAGGGCTTTCCAGGCATGTGTCTCTTGATTAGCTGTGTTGGGGCTTTGTTGACCAAATCGCGACAATTGTTTTTCTACGCGTTGCCATGGCAACTGGATCATGAATTTGAATTTTAAGGCTATTGCAAGCATCATAGCGATGTTTGTGAACTGTATTCGAGCCACAGAGGCTGAGGAGAGCCAGCATGCGGAATGTTACTGAATTTGGATGAAGTATAGGCATGTAGAGAGGAGAAATAGTACTGCACAGTATGACGCAACATGCGACACAGTTGTCATGTCATGTACTACCTTGCAGTGTGCACCTACAACCACACTATCGCATAACGGATGCGTTCAAGGCAATAATACTAATAATTATTATATGTTCTAGAATTACATGTGACAACAAAATACACAAAGGAAACCTGATGAGACGAGTTTTAAAATGAATTACATGTATAGGATTAGGAGACTCCCTTCGATAGGCATCTATTTGCCTCTGGAGGATCCGTGAAATAAAAATCAATCAATATAGAGACTGATATGAGAAAACCCGTGCCAAGCACACTGGCGTCGGCCTTAGAAGGAGTGCATTTACTTCAAGTGCAAGTCAACGTAATGGTTTACAGCAATGCAGTGGCTGAAAATGCAGTGTGTGTGTGTCAGCACCTAAACATAAAGAAATGCGGCATCAAGTTTGTTTCGAACTAGGGAAATAGTGAGGCACCATTCTTCGCACACTCTTCGTCGTTGAGCCGTATGATATTTGTGAGTTCTGTTTTAGATTCATTGATGTTGCGGTCCCAGGCTTTGAGGCACTTTGCAATGTCGGGCAGGATCTCTTGAATACGGTTGCAGTCAGACGATAGGAAGTTTGACATCGTCGGCGTCCCTGTATCAGTTGGTAAGCCGAGCCTGACATCTAGGTCTGGTCTTACGCAGATGATCTGTCTCACCTCCCGAAGCGCTGCCTCCAGATAGATAACGAATAGGACAGGTGATAGGGAGTCACCCTGTGGTGTGCCTCGGGTGGTCTGGAACTTTTCGCTCTTCCCTACAGGTAACCGGACCTCAAGGGACATGTTCCTGAGTAAGTAGCATATAATGGTGAGACGGTGACCTCATCACTCTCAAGGAAGCTAGCTAAAATAGTGAGCAAACGGTGCCTGGATATCGTGTCGAATGCTTTCGACATGTCTATGCCGAGCACGCCAAAATGATTCCTTCACTCTTTGGCACCGTGCCGCAATCCATCTGTAGCACCAAAGCTATGGCACCAAAAGCCTCTTTTACGGGCAACAAAACACAATTTGCCAAGATGAAGGATGTTAACACAAATGAAGAGAATAATTAAGAAAGGGTTTCCTCCCCACACCGGAGCTCGCGCTATTCCGCCGACGTTACTTGACGCTTGACTGACTCACGACTGCCATCCAGAGCACACGAGAAGTCCATCGAACCTTCGACTCGGCAAACCTGCAAGAAGGCACCACTCCCTGCTCAATACACAGTGTTTCGGGGAATTCACCCCTCATCAGTTGAGCTTGAGTAGGCTGAGGAAGATTGTGCCTGAAGAGCACCACTTATATAGTGCTCTCCAGGCACAAACATCACCAGGGATACAAACTTACAGAGACGCTCCGCTTCCAGCGCGACAAACACCTCGTGAACACCAGATAGCAGCGTGAGTCAGTGTCGCTCCTGGACGGTGAGACAGACGTCGAGGACCCTCGGTCATTGGCAACGCTGTCACCTCCAAACCAACTAGTCGCAAGCCCGCGCTGGACACAACAGTACGAAGTAGTGGTTGCGACTTCGGCGATGATTTGTAAGAAAGGGTTTGCTCCCCACACTGGAGCTCGCGCTATTCCGCCTAGGCACAAAATTGACAGAGTACTGAGACATTCGACGTCTTGACACCTAGCTTCAACACATCTCCGTAGCGCTAACGGACTCTGACTGTATATTATAGTATCTGGTTGCAGTGATGGAGAGTTACTCTCAACTCGTATCTATATTTCTTTCCTTTCTACATTTATTATTGGCTCAACATCCGAGTTTCAAATTGTTAAGTATACTTATTACTTATACTTTTTTTAAAGAGCTATAAGTTACGCTATAATACCCACTAGCACCGCCAGTTACTTTTTTTGTGCGTGTGTGTGTGTGTGTGCGTGGGCGCATACTACAGTGTTCGGGATGCTTTACTGGTTGGTGGGATCCAGTTCCATAGTTTCATTTTCTTTTGTTCAATTCATTTTTATAATCTTTGTTTTTCCCTTGATCTCTTTAGTTCCGTATTTCCACTGATGATCGGAACGTGAAAATCAATTTTGGAAACACACAAAACCAAACCTTGAACAAATTGTCATGTTGCGTGGTGATGTCTGCGGCATTCATACTTTTCATAGCTATTATTAAACTTTTATCTCCACGTAGATTATTTGTATAATCATTGTGAGAGGCTATACCAGTTTTCATTTGTACTTCTTCATTTTAATTCGCAAGTACACACGGGCTATGACCCCAATTACATGGAAGCGAATGTGATAATTATTTTTTTATTTTATTTTTTATATATATATTTGAGGATTTCCCAAAGACGTAGTCTAAATTGAAGGGAGTTCCATTACAATGGGAGGCTGTAGGGTTGAGATAGCAGACAGTGGAGGGCTAATAATTCGTAATGAACAGCCTAGCAAGAGAAATACAATTATGCTGAATGTTCCAGAATGGTCCTTTAATCAATGATACCTATAGCCTCGGGGTATGCCTTGAAATACGAAATGTACCGAAACAGAAACACAAACATTAATAAGAATAAGCGCAACGCACAAAGAAGGAGGACAGAGGCATGTCAGTGCGGAGTGGCATTGTGTTTGGTGTCAGAGAAGTGCGTGCAAATGTGACTGTGAAACAGGGACTGCGAGGCTGTGGCTCTCAGGTCTGCGGGCAAGGCATTCCAGACAGTAGCGGTGCGGAAGAGAAATGACCTCCCGGCGTGTTTCCCAACCCGTGGCAGAGTGAATGCGAGTTGGCGGCGGCGACTACGCGTGGGGCAGTATCCCGCTGCTTCAAAAAGTTCTGGTTGGGTGGTGACCAAATGGAAGAATTCCATAAGGCAGGCGATCTTCCTGCGCCAGGATAGACTTGGCCACCCCAGCTGTTTAAACAATGATGACTTGGGCTCGTCTGATGGGCAAGGGCATCTCTCAAGCCGCATGACTGTGCGAGCTACTCTGGCTTGCAGCCGTTCAAGGGTGAGCCGCTGTGCAGCAGAGAGGGAGGACTCCCATACTGGGGCGGCGTATTCTGCTGTGGGGCGGACATACGTAAGGTACAGCTTCCTGACGATGTCTCCTGTTAAACGGTCAGCCATATGGCACAGAAGAACGCAGCGCTGTCTAAACTTGCTTATTGTCTGTTCAATATGCTCCTGGAAGCTAAGTGTTTCACTCAACAACACTCCCAGGTGACGGTGACTGGTTGACGGCTGGATACCGCGGATGGTCTCTGCAGCTCCTTCCTCAGCGAATGAGATAACAACGGTTTTCGATGGGTTGAAGGTTCCGCCTATTTGGTCGGCCCAGGCAAATGTGTCCTGCAGGGCAGTCTCCATTGGGCTGGTACCTTTGGTTCGTGCTTGGCCGACGGCGGTGTCATCCGCGAACAGGTAAACATCAGCGTGCTGGTTGCGTTTCGAGGCTCTGGGTAGGCTGTTGATATGTACCAGGAAAAGCAATGGCCCGAGGTGGGAACCCTGGGGTACTCCAGACTTGACGGGACGTGGGGAGGACAGATGGTGTTGGACGCGGACGCTGAATGTACGCGTATCGAGGTAGTTCTTAAACCAACTCGTAGCCGGAGCATCGCAGATAGTCCCGAGTTGCTGGAGAAGCACGTCATGCGGCACTTTATCGAAGGCCTTCGCAAAATCGAGAAATGCAGCATCGTAAGGGATGCGTTTATCCATGGTCGATGCGATCTTAGTAGTGAGCTGTATCAGCTGGTCAACTGTGGAGCGATCACGGACAAAGCCGAACTGTTCCGGGACAATGATGTTGTTGACCTCGAGATAGTGACCGAATTTGGTGGCGACAATCTTGTCTAGTGCTTTCGCAATAGCTGGGAGTAGGGTTATAGGGCGGTAGTTGGAGGGATCACACGGGTTGTCACTAACCGGCACAAACCCGCAAGTGCACAGTTAGGAGATGAGTTGATAACTGATTTATTTGCTCGGACTGAAAGAGAATTTATACGATAAGTGAACGTGGCAGTGCAACATCGTACGGAGCACGCGCACTTCATTATTTTGGGAGAGCAGTATGCAGCAGTTGGGAAAAATGCGAGCTCTGGCATTGCTGTGTAAACCTAGAGGGTCTGAGGCTACAAACTGTGCATGTGGCAGAACTTGCCGTACAGAGTTCACAGTACAATATTTACCGTATAGACTAAGAGAAAGCTACAGATTGCTGCAGTGCCGAAACATGAACTAAAACATGTAAAATAGCAAAATTAAACTATCTCGCTTCGCGACACTCCCGCCGCAAAGATAAGTAACACATAATTTGTGTGAAGCCGTAAGAACCATGTTAAAAGACTAGAGAGCTGAAACAGATTTCCAGCTGGAAATACTTCAATACTTAAAGAACAAATTGGAAGAAACTATATCTAAGCAATTCGAAGTTCTGGAGCTAGTTTCATCATTACTGCTACAGTATTTACGGTATGTCACAACACAACCTTAATTAATAGAGAGCTAGGTTTGCATGATGGGAACTCAATAACTGAACCGTAAGCAATGTAGATATTACTATCATAATTAAATTTAGAAAAACATAACCAAGAACACTGGCAACTGTTCAAATAAGTACCAGGTTACATGCAGTTAATTCACATGGCTACTATACTTGTCCATCTTCGATCAGATCACTGGTGCGCATTGTAGCTGCTGTTGCTGCATTGCGTCGCGGGCGTTCAGGCAGTGGCGCAATTGCAGGCTCTGTCACTTCTGCAGTGGTTACTTCGCCTGATGAACACTCTAACGGATAGAGATGGCTTACCGGCCGGTTCATGGAAGTCCCAGATGGCATACGTAGCGTCACTGATCGCACTTCGCCGTCTGTGCTTTGGTGTAGCTGCGCGATTCTTCCTATTTTCCAGCAGCTGCGCGGCCGATCAACATCCTTGATCAGAACAATGCAGTTCACACTTGGCTTGAAGCTATTGGAATTTCGTTGACTGTGTTGTTGTGGTCGTAGCGACTGCAAATACTCTGCCGACCACTTCTCCCAGAAAATGTGGAGACATTTCTGCTGCTGTTTCCACAGGTTGACGAGTTGTTGAGCATTACTGACATGTGTGATGTAGTCAGGGTCATCTGTAATGACAAAGTTAGGCTGACCAAGAGAACTATGCCCAGTTAAGAAATTGGCAGGCGTGAGAACATGATCGATTGTGAAGTCCTCACCAACGTATACCAGTGGTCTAGAATTGACAATTGCCTCAATTTCAATTAGCAAAGTTTCAAGTTGACAGAATGTAAGCTGTCCAGTTCCAATTGATTTCTTCAGAGATCGTTTCACAATACCAATCATGCGTTCGTAAACACCACCCATCCAAGGAGCTAACTCAGTGATGTATTTCCATTTAATACCTTTTCCCGCAATGAATTCCATTACATCATTATGTTGAATTGACTCAAGCCAGAGAAGATCAATAACATTCTTAGACAGCTTGAATTGCTTGGCATTATCACTTACTATGTACTTCGGTGTACCTCTTCGTGAAATGAACCGTCTGAAACACATTAGGAATTGCTCAGTAGACATATTGCGAACTAATTCCATATGAATAGCTCTGGTAGTTAGGCAAGTGAGGATGCATACCCACACTTTAGCTGTTTCAGTTTCCGTTTTCACATACATTGGCCCAAAGTAATCAAGACCAACAGATTCGAACACCCTCCCGGGGACAAGCCGTTCCTCAGGCAAAGGTGCAAATTGTGGTGTTGCAAATGGCTTTCCATGATGGCGTTTACACAAAAGACATTCCTTAATCACCCGTCTAACCATTGCTCGACCTTTAGGCACCCAGTAATTCCGTCTCAATTCAGCCAATGTCTGACTAACACCCGAATGTTTAAGTGAGATATGTTGTTCCATTACAATTAACCTCGTTAAGTGTGAACCATAAGCTAGCAATAGAGGAAATTTACTTTCGAATGGTAGGTGAGAATACTCCAGTCTACCCTTACATCGGATTAAACCATTATCAAGAAAGAGACCCAAAGCATCGACGAGCTGATGTCGCTTGCCTTGTTCTATTGCCTTGATTTCATTTCCAAAGTGCTGAGCTTGATGATACCGAATGATAGCTACTCTTGACATTGCGATTTCTTCAGCTGTGAGATTCGTTTCACTTTCCGACTTTTCGTGTTTGAGTTTCCGTATGAACCGTTGTACCCATGCGTTCACTCTCACAAGCTTAGAAAACGAGGAGAACTTCTCACAGTTGACTACCTCAGTGTGTTCATTGCTAACAAAGGCCGATTCGGGAGAGGGACCTTCGTCCGCATTTTCCTCGCACGTTGGCATTTCACTTCCCGTCGCTTGCATTGCTGGAAACATACTTTCTGGATAGGAACCAGACTTCAACCACGTTGGACCCTCCCACCACAAGGTGTTCTGCTGTAAACTCGTTGCATTAGCTCCTCGAGAAACAATATCAGCTGGATTTTCTTTCACAGAAACATGACCGTACATGACATTATTCACCTCGTGAATGGTTTTAATTCTTCTTGCAATAAATTGCGGCCGCTGTTGATTTCCCGTTACCCATGCTAGTGCACATTTTGAGTCGGTCCATATGTGCGTCTTGCTGAGCTCGAATGGTACTTGCTCTCTAAGAAATTTGACCATCTTTGTACCAAGTACTACAGCAAAGAGTTCCAACCTAGGAATGGATGTGGGCTTGGTTGGCGCAATGCGACTCTTGCTAAATATCAGGTCGACTGAAACATTATCGCCACAAGTAGTGAGTAGGTACGCAGCTGCACCATACGCATGTGCGGATGCGTCAGTAAAAACTTGTAGTTCATACTTGGGAGTTGAACCGTCATCACTTCGAGTACCCACAAACCTTGGCAATTTTATTCCACTAAGTGACAGCAGTGAATCACACAATTTCTGGCATTCTTTGCGTACATCATCTGGTAAGATATCATCCCACCCAAATTTTCTCTTCCAAAGCTCCTGCATGATGATTTTCGCCTCAACCGTGACTACACCCATTGGGTCGAATACTGACGAAATACATTGTAGTAGCTGACGTTTTGTTTCGATCTCATGAAATGCCCTTGGCGGTGGTACCCAAATTACGTCATCCTCGGTATCCCAGCCCATGCCTAGAACTTTCGTGCGGTTACCTTTGACTTGATCATTCTCCGTTTCCATTTCTTTCTCACTGATGCCAACATTTTCAAGATTCCAAAAACGTTCCAAGTCGAATTCTTTCGGTGCACATGCTTCTGCCGCAACTAACGAGAGCGCCTCATGGCACATTAGTGTGTGATCACCATTTCCGTTCGATTTCACCTTGCCTGCCACCAAAAACCCAAGAGTGGAATCGATCAAAATGAGACCATCTGGGTATTCCAATCTTTCGCTGCCAACAAATTGAAAGTATTGGTCTGCTCCAATTAAGATATCAATAGGCATTGCTTCAGGTGTATTGCATAGAGGCTCTGCTAAGATAAGCTTCTGTAAGCTAGAGTGCTTTGCTGTGCTCAAAGGTACTTTCTGTAGTGGACACGAAATGTTGTTGATAACATTCGCCTGTATGGAAGCTAATTCACCATTCTTCTGCTTGATGTGCAAATTGACTACAGGGTATTCCTTTACCGATCTGTGTGTTGCACCAAAGGTTGCAAGTGAAATTCTGTCACTTCCCTCTTGTTTGAGTCCCAATGCTTTGCTGACATTCTCACTGACGTATGTTCTCGATGGACCCGTGTCAAACAAGATCCTTACAGTCTGTGACCTGTTGCCTTCCTCATTTGTTGCAGTAGTCAAAGCAGTTTGCATTAGAACCCTGTGCCCTTGTGTGTGAGAAACCATTGCCTCATCTTGTGTTGGTTCAAATGTTTCTGCCATTGCATTCAAAGTGTGTGCCTGTTTTTGTCCATCACCATGATGCTTCCCATCATTTGTTCGCTCTTCATTTGACTTGAACTTCTGTGGACACAGACTTCTGTGGTGGGATTTGCGTTTGCAATGGTAGCATGTTCTAGCATTCATGCAAGCTCTTGCTCCATGTCCCGCTTTCAGACAGATGTAGCATTTCATACCCAACCGTGTTTTCCGTTCATCTAGCGATTTGTACATTTGACATTCATCAGAGTAATGCTTTCCATCACAATACATACATTTGATAGTACGAGCTACACCAGCACCCGCAAGTAGAGACTGCCCTGTTGATAGTATCTTCTTTGAGTGATTAGCATGTTGCCATGATTGTTGACCTTTGCATGCGGCTGGTCCTTCTGCATTCTCTTTTGCCTTTAGTAAGTGCGATAGTGCCAAACGCAACTCACTAATTGTCCATTCATCGTTCTGTTTGGTGAGCTCAAGTTGTAATTTCACATCACTCGGGAGCTTGCTTAAGATTATTGTAATGAACACCTTTTGCGATACATCCTCATCTTGTGCTTCAAGGCTCCTGAGGTGCACTTCAATTTTGTCAACACAAGACCTCAAACTTTCGATTTTTGATGTGCAGGCCGACATCTCCATTAAAGCAGTGTAGTGGGCATCCACGGTAGCTTGCTTACTCCCGTACCTCTTCTCAAGCAGATCCCGGGCAACTTCATAATTTGCATTACAGATTCTTAAACCTTTCAGCACGTCTTGTGCTTTCCCTCCCACACATTCACGGAGATAGCTCAATTTTTCAACTGGTGACAAGGAGGAGTTGTCATGAATAGTAGCATCGAAAATGTTCCAAAACTCTTGGAACTCCATTATGTCCCCATCAAAATGCTTTAGCTCCAATTTGGGTAATCTGGCAGTTGTCTGGGTCTTCGATTCGGTTCTAGTATCCCGCTCTACTAAGGGTATAGTATCCCGCTCTACCAATCTCTTTAGAAGATTTTGGGTTGACTCTTGGGTGTTAGCTTGCGTCCCAATCAATTTCGTAATCTCAAGCAAGGTAGAGTCTGTCTGCATTGTAGGCTGGACGCCTGACTCTAATTCCATTTTTCTCAATTTTCTCTGGAGTTTGAAACCCTTCTCTAGTGTCTCTGTCCATAACCCAGCCTCATCCTCCAAGCCATTCTTAATTTCTTTGTTTTCTTTACCCTTTGGCTCCTATACCTCCACATTCTCAACAAAATCATCCAAGTTAGCTTCCGTTCTTTCCAACAATTCCTTTAAACCACAAAGAAACGGACTTATCTGGTTGACGGGTTTGGTTCCTGCTAGCAGATCTTCGCCGACTGTCGTCTCCTCCTGCAGCTCTTCATACAGGAGCTTGAGAGCACGCTTGCTCGTCTGGATAGCCGTCGGCAATCTTGTGTCGCCCATTTTCACAACTCAAGCCCCAAGGGGCGAGTCAACCAGGAGCAAGGCTCGGTTGGGGGCAGTGGCGAGGAACTAGGAAGCAGGTTTCGGCACCATGTCACTAACCGGCACAAACCCGCAAGTGCACAGTTAGGAGATGAGTTGATAACTGATTTATTTGCTCGGACTGAAAGAGAATTTATACGATAAGTGAACGTGGCAGTGCAACATCGTACGGAGCACGCGCACTTCATTATTTTGGGAGAGCAGTATGCAGCAGTTGGGAAAAATGCGAGCTCTGGCATTGCTGTGTAAACCTAGAGGGTCTGAGGCTACAAACTGTGCATGTGGCAGAACTTGCCGTACAGAGTTCACAGTACAATATTTACCGTATAGACTAAGAGAAAGCTACAGATTGCTGCAGTGCCGAAACATGAACTAAAACATGTAAAATAGCAAAATTAAACTATCTCGCTTCGCGACACGGGTTACCTTTATTTTTAAATATGGGGATTACTGTTCCCAGCTTCCAGGCACTAGGAAACTCACCTAAGGTGAGGCTAGCGTTAAACAGGTTGGTAACAGAGGACGTTATACAAGGTGCGATCTCTCGGAGGATCCTGTTCGAGATGTTCCCGCCTGTTGCCTTATGCTGCGGGAGCCTTCGGAGCACCCGGTACACTGAGGATTCGGCCAAGACTGGCAGAGAGAATAATTCATTCGGACAGTCGTCGGCTGGTGCTGGTATTGGACCTGTACCGTGAGCAGGAGTGCACTGGCGCTCAAATACCTTCGCGAGCATTTCTGCTTTCTCTGGTTCGCTCTGTGCCGTGTAGCCCTCACACGTTAGGTCAGGAACTTTATCTTTCTTACAGGAGATGTTGGCAAGTGTCTTGGCTTTCTTCCACCAAAGGTGGGCATCTTGCTCATCGTGAATATTCTCACTGAGGCGCTTGAAGTACAGGGTCTTGGCATTTCGTAACTGGTTCTGATATGCATTCCTCTGGGCCTTGTAGGTTAACCAGTATGCTACTGTTTGGTGGCGCTTGGCGGCACGGAAAAGATGCTGCTTCTGGCGATGAAGGTGATGCAGATGCGGGGTGAACCAAGGCTTGGTTTGCTGTCTTCGAGATGAAACTCGTCTGTACGCTAAGCAGCTGGCAATGGCTTGTGTGATGCATGACTCCCATGCCCACCACGCACTCTCGATGGTGGAAGCACCGAGCATACACTCCCGGAGTGGAAGAGATGAAAGTTTCTGTCGTAGAGATTGAAAGTCAGTGTTCGCGTAGTCTGGTACAAAGCGGGGCGGCGGGTGCTTTGGGGTGTGCTTTCCTGAGAGATATTTAAAGATTATGGGACAGTGGTCTGATAGCGGATCTAGGACTTCAAGGTCGGATATACGATGCTCTGCGTCTGTGATAACCAGGTCGAGAAGTGATGACTGGCTACCCGTAGCTGAGTATCGCGTTGCGGTGTTTCGGACAATTTGCTGTAGTGCAAGGTCGTCTAACAATCCTGCTAGCTGTTTGCCCTCTGCCGTATCAACATCTGTTGCGTTCCACTGTCGGAGTTTGGCATTGAAATCACCGAGAATGACTGTCGTGCCTGAGGCTGACAGTGCATTGGCAATGGTGGACTGGAAGGACACAAAAAAGTCGTGTTTTTCTGCTGATGATCGGTGAGGGGGCCTGTAAAACATGTGGAATGTATTCTTTCGACTGTTCTGCGATTCTATAAATTCCACGCAAATGTGCTCCGATAATGGAATGAAATAAGAGGGGTGGGGGTACTGGGGGGGGGGGGGAAGGTCCATGCTGTATACATCACAAATTGTGCAGCATAGAGTTATTTTTTATTATGATGGCGATGGAAATACGGTATAACACAAAAAATGCGGAAATAGCAGCCAGTCATGCATCCACTCTGCACAACACTGACCGTGTGCATGGTGTTGGTTCCTGCACTGACAAGAACGCGTCTCCTGCTTTACTAGTGTCCCATGCTTCCTCCTGACTCTCTCACATCACATTGGGGTACTGGTCATAGCCGCCTGTCGGCTCATTGTTGCGTACATAATCCCTCCTCCATCACGCAAAGCTTCCCACCCTTAGTTCACGACTCCTTGTTAAACAAGTCCTACTAGCATAGGGCATCCACCACCAAACCTCCCCACCACACCTGCAACAACCACATCTTTCACCACAACGTCAACACCAACCATACACCCTTCGGCAGAAAAGGACCTACTCCATCGGACACGCACACGCAAACAGGCACCGAGATTCCCCCATCAACAGTGCCCTCACTCTCTACCACTCAGTCCCTATCGATATCACAATCCAACATCGTAGAAATTCTTTCCGAAACAATGCATCCAGTCTTCTTTTGAGCAGTACCTGTTCCTGCTCCGCGCATATCTCGAACGTGTATTTAACTATCTCGATCACCCCTGCTAACGTTATTGCCCCGCTTGTTTTTCATTTTTTTTTTGATTGATTTGATTGATTTTTATTTCACGGATCCTCCAGAGGCAAATAGATGCCTATCGAAGGGAGTCTCCTATATAAGTATGGAAAATGAGAAAGTATGTTCGTAAGGGAGAAGAGGTAGAAGATACATTAGAATATAGAGTGCAGAAGAAGTAAATTCAGTACTTCGGGTAGTACATTGCATGCTAATCATAATGAGAATTAGAAAAGCAGCATTGCGGACTACTATAACTGACATATACACAAACTATTGAAGCTATCATAGATGTGGTTAGCCTAGACACAAAAGTCAGGAATACCTTTCAAAGAAAACATAGATTGCGAATGATACCGACGAACAGCAATACTAAATTTCGCTGTTGTAGAGAGTGAACGAATATCTTCAGGAAGTTTATTCCAGGCAACACTCAAAGAAAAAAGGGTTGATTTACGAAAGAAGGTGCCAGCTTTAGGAAGAATTATGGATGAAGGGTGACGACTGCTTTGGGAAGAGGGTAGCTGGAAGTGAGACAACAAGGAGGGGTATTGGGAGAATACATGAACCATTGCTTCTTGCCTCCCCGTGTAATTTCCATGTAGCTGTTTCTGGTTAGGCCAAACTAAAGAAGGTGTGTGGTTCGACTAACATGGACATTTTTTTTACGGGCGGGCGGGCGGATTTTTTTTTTAAATATATATTTTTAGTACATGTAAATACACTGTACTGCCTTTAGACACCCAGTACATCGGCATTATTACGCAGTGTTATGCCATACATGTTGTATAAAGGGATCACTGGCTAATACTTTGAAACATCGTGTAGCTCTGGAACGAGAAGAGAATAACTTCAAGCGGTGACTCTGACTGTCCAAATCATCAAGCAAATGAAGAACGATGCGAGTTGAAAGTAAGTTCGGGAACTACTTCGAAGTACAAATTGTACAATGTACCGGTACATGTATTGCTAGTTTGGTGTCGGCGTGCACGAATACATGGGCTTTTTCCATCGACGCTTCCTGTGCTTGCACACATGGAGCAGCAACTTACCGGTACAGGTGAAATATCGTTCCCAATACACGAGGAAAGTGCAATCTCGTCTGTCCTTCATCCCAAAACAGAAGGCCGTCCTTAATCTGGAACGAGGCAATCACTCTCAACCGGACGGTCACTTCAAAATAAGTCTCGCCAGTCTGCCGGTGGTCGTATCGAGTAGACTCTACTACCAGCACAAGGACAAGGTAGCAGTCGTACGACTCACTGCACTGCACTGCAGTACAACTACAAGTCAAGTCCAAAACTTAAAAAGGAGCCGCCTGCGTCCGCAGACTCTGCACAGCACGTAGACGTGGACGTGTTCAGTCCACGTAGTCTACGTCAGTCACACGACAGCCCGCCGAAAAAAAGTTACGGTCGGGCTGAAAAATGAACGGTCGGTCGGGTGAGTCGAACCACAGACCTTCTTCAGTGTGGCCTTAGTATAAGTTCTATCACACTTATCAATCGTCCTTATTGGCGTCACGCCATCGTGGAATAAAAGCATAATAATAATATTAATAATCTAGGATCGTTTCCTCGTCAGTGCGCTGACCATTGCAATGGTCCCATCATTTCGTTTCGTTTTCACACTACAGTCGTTCTCCACACAGGCCGTCGACCAACAGTCACGGAGCACCTTCCAGCTAGCACTGGATCGAAATCGAAACTGCATGCACGCGTCAGACGTGCATTGTAAAAAATAAAGCTGTGTTCACAACTGGCGCGTGTACGCGTGAAACCACGCGTTTGTGCGTATTTTTGCTGGCTTTTGGGGCGTCATGCGTATGGATACGCGCCGAAGTGGAAATTCCAACATGTTGGAATTTTCAGCGCGTATCAGGTGCGTACCAGCGTACATGCCAGTCACTTTGACTGGCGGGGTCCAAAAATTAGTACTCGAAGGTGTCGCACGTGCTGAATACGACTCGGATTGCTGTTTTTTGTGAAAGCTTGAGCGCGCGTATGGGCGCGCATGAACCGCAAGCGTACAGCTGTGTTCACAACTGGCGCGTGGACGCGGTACGCTTGCGGTTCATGCGCCCCCAAACGCGCGCTCAGCCTTTCACAAAAAACAGCAATCCGAGTCGTATTTAGCGCGTGCGACACCTTCGAGTACTAATTTGTTGACCCCGCCAGTCAAAGTGACTGGCATGTACGCTGATACGCGCCTGATACGCGCTGAAAATTCCAACATGTTGGAAGTTCCATTTCGGCGCGTTTCCGTACGCATGGCGCCCCAAAAGCCAGCAAAAATACGCACAAACGCGTGGTTTCACGCGTACACGCGCCAGTTGTGAACACAGCTTACCGCGTCCACGCGCCAGTTGTGAACACAGCTTTAAAGCGGGATTCACAGAAGCTTTTTTGCGATGCGACACGCGATGCGACAGCCGCGAAACCGGGAAATCCCCAAATCGCAACCATCGCGGACCCCACGCAACTGCCGCAACAGGGCCATCGCAGGCCATCGCAGAAGTTGAGCTTGGCTCAACTTTTGCGATGCGATGCGATGCGACAAGCGATTTGGTGTACGATTTTGACCTTTTCTACAGCAAAGTTGTACAAAGGTGCAAGAGTTGCCTTGAAATTTTTACAAGTTGTGTCAAACCGCGCGAATATCATGGTGACGTACCCAAATCAGCAAAACTTTGTCGCATCGCTGACTTCTTCTGTGAATGGTATTTCGCGAGTTCGCATCGCACGCATCCATCGCAGATCGCGTCGCATCGCGTGTCGCATCGCAAAAAAGCTTCTGTGAATCCCGCTTAATTAACTGTTGGTTACAGTGCCTGTGTACTGTAGTACGATCAGCGACGATGGAGAGCTGGATGCCGAAGTCACAACTCGTCTCGCCAAGGCATCAAGGGCGTTTGGTAGCCTCCTCCAACCAATTTTCCGGAACTCGGGTCTGTCGCTTGGAATCCGACGTCAGGTCTACCAGGCCGTGGTCCTTACAGTGCTGCTGTATGGTTCTGAGACATGGACGCTGAAGGCACCCCTCCTGCGCAGGTTGGACACGTTCCATCGACAGTGTGTTCGCACGATCCTGAGTGTTACCCGAGACCAGCAGTGGCAGGAACACCTGTCAAGTGAAGACTTGGCGAAGCGCAGCGGCATGCCAGCCTCGCTGGAGGAGGCCATTCGTGCGAATCGCCTGCGATGGCTTGGTCTACTCGCAAGGATGGACGACACCAGGTTGCCAAAGCAGATCCTGTTTGCGGAGGGCACTAACACGCGGCCCCGCCATGGACCCAAGCGTCGTTGGAGAGATGTGGCAGCTTCAGACCTGCGTGCGACCGGTATCCCGGAGACGCAATGGTACCACCTTGCTCAGGACCGGAGGGACTGGCGCGAACGTAGCCGTCGGAAGCCACCAAGCCAGCGCCAACCAAGAGTGTTCGTCTGTGTCTGCGGCCGCGACTTTCGCCGTCCGAATGATTTATCCCGACACAAGAACTACTGCCTCGCCTAATAGCTATCATCGCCTTCGGCGATGGGCTTTCCAAAGGTCCAAAGGTAGTACGTACGTAGTGTGTTCTCTGCGGCAAGCTGTCACATCACCTGAACTTCCTGAACTTCTGAAGTGAAGGGATGACATCAGGGGGAAGTCCCAAAGTTCCAGAACGAAATAGAAAGTGAAATGAAACTACTACACTGTACTGGTATACTAGACCTATAATGTATGTGGTATTATGCTTCCAAGTGCACAAAGTACAGTCAAACCTCGTTAGGACGAACTTCAAGGGACTGAACAAATTTGTTTGTCTTATCGGGAGTTCTTCTTATCCAGATCTGACAAAAAATCGATATGCATATCAGATGGATTGTATTTACGTGAAGGTGCATGCTGTGGTACATGGGAAGCATGTTATTCTTAGCATAAGCCAGAAACAGGTAAGTACAATGACACAGTGCAATGAATCACGACTGTGTCGAAAGTTCGTACAACGCAGTGTATGTACAATCAGTCATGTAACCCCACTGAGTCTGTACTGAGATCGCTGACTCCAGCCGAGTACCATGAGTATTATAGCAATAAAAACTGCTTTATGGCAGTTTTCTAAAAAAAGTTATTGTGTTCTAGTCCATGGACCCCGTCTAAAAAGTAAGAAATTAACGAAATATGATAGCCGAAAATTAAAATTTCACACAAAACCTCACAATAATCACAACACTTGAAATGCTGCTTTCAACACTAAACTTGTACTGCACAACAATTGGCAACATGTATGTCATGCATGCATAGGAAAGAGGATCACGAGGGGAAAAGGTCTTATTATTATTATTATTATTAAATTTTGAATACGGCAGTCCCACAGGCCTAGGGCCTTTTTACAGGTCTTCTGCATGTAGCTTTTCATTCTGTATATGATTATTGTGAGGTTTTGTGTGAAATTTTAATTTTCGGCTATCACATTTCGTTAATTTCTTACTTTTTAGACGGGGTCCATGGACTAGAACACAATAACTTTTTTTAGAAAACTGCCATAAAGCAGTTTTTATTGCTATAATTTCTTTTGTTTTTTCTGTCACCAATGGAATGCCCTATATACGGAGGTCATTCTGTGCATGTTGCTGTAGCAGAATTTCATGACTCTGTCATAAAATTGTCTTGCCTTTCAGATATTTCAGATTTCCCCACCCTCGATCAGATTTATTTGAGAAATGTAACCAGGTACTTGTCGCAGATGTTTTTGTTGATTCTGTGTTTATAATGGTTTATAATCATGGGTTATCGTGATAAGGTCATCCTGCATCATATTGCACTGAAATTGTAATCCTGTTGATGTCGATACAACTTTTGGAAGTAGTTCAATGACTTCAAACTGGTAGTCCACGATTTTCTAAAACAACACAGCAAAGGAGGAACAATAAACATGTATTAAATTGTAAACAAATACATTACGTAACCTCGTTCCAACAACTACACTGATCCTGAGGATAAAAGGGGCGAGGCTATGGTTGGAGGTACTGAGAGATAAACAAGGCACTCCATAATAATAAAATCTTACACATCTTTTGGTGAGTATGAATGATATCCAGTCGAACCTCTTTAGGACGAACACCAAGGGACCAATGGTATTTATTCTGTGAGTTTGTCTTATTTTATAACCAGTGAATACAATTATTTCTCCAATAGACATACAAATAGATTTCTTCTACAGCGAAAGATTCTAAGCCACACCAACTCATTGACTCGTCTCGTATGAAACAAATGAGTCACTAGAGAGGTTCTGCAAAACGAAAATGCGTAAAAAGGTTCGTTCATTGCCATGAAGTGCAAAACTTCGCAACTTTGGACGCGAAACTTGCAGGGAACGCGAAATGAACTGTCGTACTCGTAGGACATTTCGTGAGATCGGGTCATGGCGTACGTGCACTTGGCCCGCGCAAATCACGAAAATGTGCAGAACGCAAAGTTCGTGCAAAAATTCGTACACACTTTCGCAAGGACTGTCGAGAAACTTCGTTCGAATTTTCGTTTTGCAGAACCTCTCTACTGAACGTTTCTTTAGCAACATGACGGCAACTGAAACAGCAACAGAGAAAGTACGATACATGTACAGGCAGTACAGCACATTCTTGCAGGTACTACAAACAGATTGCAGATCGTAATTCTTGCTTTGGCGGCACGAAACTTTATTTGGGGCAGTGCAATCTCGGCGGTACTCACAAATAATAAATCAAACAGCCCAGACTCAAGTAAAGAAATCCAATCATACAAGTACGAGATCTTCACGAGACGAGACTGCACCCATTGGCTTGTTTCGTATGAAGCAAACAAGTTTACTGAACCTCTCCACAATGGAGATTTTCCCTGATATGCGAATTTATTTTGCAAACTCGGTCAATGGGTCCTTGAACCTTTCCCTCCAGATTGGGAACTGCCAACGATAGTATGCCACTGACCAGTGCCTTACTTGTAACGTTCCAATGTACAATGAATATGAGTATTTCGACAACACATTTAACATACCGGTAAGCCTTACCGTCAAGAAGGTGAACTCGCGTTCTTCGTACACTGTAGACAAGGGCAAAGAGATAAAAATGGATCTAAATCCGAATTAAATCAGCACACGTTTCCGTAAATGAAAGGGTGAGCATAACTTAAGCAAATGAATCGAAGGAAACCGGTCAACTCAGAGATCACCTGTCATCGAGTATTCCGTAAAAGCCCCTGAGTGGGGAGCAGCTGCGCTATCGCACCGCCATCCGCGACGACCAGGCTCGCTTGGACGTAGCAGCAAATGGAGTGTGGGGAGGGCGGTTCGAACGCACCTTCTTCGACGTCCGGGTGTTCAACCCTTTTGCGTCTTCGAACCAGTCCTCCTCCATTTCTGCCACCTACGTTCGCCATGAGAAAGCGAAGAAGAGATCGTATGAAGAGAGGCTGCGGGAGATCGAGCATGCTTCATTTGTCCCGTTGGTCTTCTCGACAACCGGTGGCATGGGCAAGCAATCTGCCTCGCTTTACAAGCGAATTGCATCTCTCATTGCTGAGAAAAGCGGCGAACCGTATTCGGTTGTTATGTCATTCATCCGCTGCCGCCTTAACTTTGCGTTGCTCAGAGCGAGTGTCATGTGCCTGCGTGGTAGCCGCTCTGTTTTCGCTGTACATGCACCTGTCTCTTCTTCTGCCTCCCTAGTTGCTGCCGAAGCTGGCACTTCCCGTCATTAATTTTATAGTCTTTAGTTCTTTAATATTATTATTTGCCATGGCGACCCCCGTAAGCCCAAATAGCTGGCAGGGCAGGGTTGGGCCTTTTTTCTTTTACTTCACAAGTGTAGCATTCTATCAGTCATTACGTAAAAAAAAAAAAAAAGTATTCCGTAAAAGGAGGCCTCGGCAGCGGAAAAGCTAAATTATTTAGAAAAGAGATCCTGTCAGCTTTTCCATTATTTATTGCATTCCGCCCAAAATCAGCACACTTTTCGTAAATGAAAGAGTGAACACAAGCAAATGAATCAAAGGGAACTGGTCAACTCACCTGTCAGTAATATTCCGCGAAAGGAGGTCTCAGCAGCGCCGAAACGAAATAAGCCAGGCCAGGAGTCGAAATATCCGAAACAGCTCATACAAGAAGCAGTTCCAAAGAAGGAAGTTCCTTGCGCATGCACATCCGAACACGGACTGCACTGCAACACAAGGTTCCGGGGTACGATTTTCCGTGCCAAAATCCGTATGGGCGCTACGGATTTTTTCCAGGCATGCTCCATACGATTTTTCGGCACGGAGAATCCGTGTGGAGACTGTGGACTGGCTTTCACACGAACCATGTTTCGTATGGAGATTTTGCGTCATCGGGTGCAGAAAGATTTTTGGGGTACAAATTTGGTACGAGAAACATCGATTTTCCGCGGGAAGTTTTGATTTCGGTACAAATTTTCAAAATAAAAAGGCATAGCGCGGGAATGTGACGTGTTTGCGATCGTAACCTAGGCAATGACGGCAAACACATAAGTTCCGTACTCCGGAACATTTCACTGCTCGAAAACGACGTATAAAAAATCCGTAGCGCCTCTACGGATTTTGGCACGAAAAGTCGTACTCCGGAACCTCCCTATTGTCTGCCGTGCAGTGCACAGCACGCGGCTTCCACCCGTTGGTAGATCTAATACCGAGCACCTTACGTAGAGATTTACGTAGCCTAAGTGAAATACCGAGCACCTTACGTAGAAAGTTACGTAGCATAGCGGTGTCGTTTTTCTTGCCATGTGAACACAATAATAGAAAAGCTGACAGGATCGCTTTTCTAAATGTCGAGGCATGCAACACCTGTTTACAGCGTGCGTGCTAATGGTTTGGTATGGTGAAGAGCACGGTGTGATTATATGTTAGTCCTTCCCATAGATCAGCGGGCAGGTGTGAAGCTGGCGAGACAAGACAAAATATTCGCCGTGAACTCGCAGACAGGATATACTCTCCTCTAGGTCGCTAACCGTGCGGCGCCTCTCGGCCAAGAAGCTGAGAACTAGACACTGCAATTCCGTTTAGGCAAGAGCCTGTACGGAAAGGGTTGGCCGTCCATTGACGCAGACCAGAGCTCGCAGGCCAAGCTAATAGAAGGCTACGGCACGCACACGCTTGCACAAACAAACTCTAGGTGTGCGGCATGGCGAGTCAATCGGCTAGTGTCCAGAACCAGATTGACGATGGGATGCCTCAACTCAGTCAACTGACCATTACGCCAAGACCTGATGTAGGGCAGGATCTGCAACCGCCAGAAGAGATTGGGTGTTTCTCTCTGGATGACCAGCGTGATATATTCATGGACAGGCGAGAGGCGCGTCGCTGCATCGAAATTCCAGATGGCTCGCTAGCTTGGGATTTGAACGAAGGGTTTGCAGGCTTTCAATGGAGAGACGAGGATAACATCAAAGCAGAGGGAATCAAGCCGAATGGATCATGGCACACCCAGCAGTTATGGAGCAGTTCTCCAACACGAACTTCGTCTTGAAACGTGGAGTTATGACGGACATCATGACTGCGCCATACGAGTCGAAAAGCAACTTCCCCAAGGAGTGGCGTCTTAAAGTGTGTAGACATCGCAACACCATATACTTATGCAATGACGCGGAGTTTCCACAATGGAAAAGCTTCTCCAGTGCAAGCCCCCGTGAACAACAGACGACACACTGGGGTTTTAGATTTGAATCCTACTGCACAGCCCCCGTCAATCCAGAAGCTGAAGTGAACAGCAAGCCGAATGATACTGCAGGATTTGACACAGTGGTCTACACGCAACTGGCTGATCATTCGTTCATATTGGCTGCGGAGGTGGATGGTGAGCTTGACCGACCCGGCCTATCACCGCCCTCCAACTATGTGGAGATGAAAACCCACAGGAACCTTCGTACTGCTTACCACACGGAAATGTTCCACCGCCACAAGCTCTTCCGTACGTGGGCTCAGTGCCATTGCATTGGTGTACCAGACATTCTGGTAGGCTTCCGAAATGATCATGGTATTGTGTCATGGTATTGTGCACAGGGTTCAAACATACAAAGCAGCAGACCTCCCAGCCATGTGCAAGCGCTATTGGAGTGATTCTGTGTGCTTGAATTTCGCGCAGGACTTCTTCGACTGGCTTTGGGGAAGCATCGAGGAGGCTGACCCTCTGCAGGTGTAGTATGAAGTGACATTTCAACGACCCTTCAAGAGCGTGTTGCTTCGCAAGGTTGAGTTAACCGACGCGAGCCAGGCAATACTCAGTCCGGCGTTTTTGATCTCCATGGCAGCGGCAGCTCAGGCCGGAGAGATGGGTGACTAGCAGCGCAAGGGCTGTGAAGGCAACGCCAGTCGCAGACTGTGAATCAGAGCTGCATTGGCAAGTTGTGCATCAGTCTCTTCCCGGGCATCCTGTATTACGTTCCTAGATGGTCCAGTCAGTTGCAATGACTATGTATCCTCTCTTCTCTCTACCTCGATCGGATCCCCAACCCTCTTCACTTGGACTAGCCCACCTAGTACCTAGCGTGGCGAGAAATGCCACGGAGTGCAGTCTACACTTTCATGTCATGCATGTTCAGTTGCGATCTGCTTTCTCTTCCTGTCTACATTTCTAGTTGTGATCAATGCCATTGCGGTCATGCTGTGTGTTCTCTGTGATTTGACCTTAATCTCCTGGCATCATCCTGTTTCCATATGTGCTCTGCCTGGGTGCACCTCGATGCCTCATGTAATATCGCATGTGTGCAGCGGGCTTCAATTCAGGTTCCGCTGGGGACCGTCAGTTTCGCTGAGCCAGCGTCGGTATAGTCTAGTCTAGCCTTTTTTTTTGGTTGTTGTGTTCTTGTGCGTCCGGCATGAGGTTTTTAGCTGAACTTTGTTTGGCTGCATTGTAATGTTTCGTGAGAGAGCTTTCTTAGTAGTTCCTTGGAACGAAATAGTCGGATCGTGACATGGCGTTCTACTTCTAATCAACCATAAAGTCTTCCGTATATAGAGAGTGACTCAGTCGAGTGTGAGCTTGGGATACGGCCCATTACGGGACTGCATGCGGCAGAAGCCAAGCAAACCAACACCACCAGTGGGTACACTAACAAAATACAGATATGATGCTAAGGAAAGTGTGTGAGTATAGTGGCATAGTCAAATTCACATGTATATTCGTTTCTGAATGCATAGGTCTGGTGGTTGTTTTGTTCACACACTCACTCTCTCTCTTTCTCTGCTTTCTCACGTACATGGACTCTGTGTTTTTTTCACGCTCAAATTTCAGTGCCTCTGAGTTTCCCTCTTCAAACGGGACTTTCCTTGTTTGTGTCTTGCGGTAGCAATATGGGCAGGCGCGTGCTCGGCAATGGGCACGGGGGGCACGTGCACCCCCCCCCCAAAAATTTTCAATCTGGGTAATTGTAATGTATGCAAATATGCTCTAAAATTCAAGAAAGGTTGCAAACAAATTGCAGAAAATTGCCGGGGGAGGCTCCCCTCGGCTCCCGTGCACCCCCCTAGTTGGGGGCCGAGCACGCCCCTGATGGGACATGATTATACTCTTCTTCCCTGACAATGTTGTATGGCATGCCAGGCACACTAACTTGCCATAGTCTCTTTTGAGCGGCTAATCTGGGAACTCCCGCACCCGCCAGTGTTTCGGCACTGATGGCCACTTCAGTGCTCTGTCCATGAGCTACTCGCGTCCTTTTGGAAACATTTTCAGACTTGGTAATAGCTGTTTTGAAGTGTTTTCTGGAAAGACCGCTTCCTCGCTATCGCGGCAGGATTTGCAGTTTCCACCTCGACGACGTCACTATCATCAGAGGACTCCGCCAAAAGCTCATCTGGAGAAAGCCCAGCTTTCTCCCAATTCCAAGAACGGCATCGCGGCGAGTCAGCCATCAGCGTTGGCTGCTAGTTAGCTGGTCTTACACAATGGTCAATGTCCGGTGAAAGTCCAGCGTTACTCTTCGACAAAGACATGGACTCTTGCTTCGATGAAGAATGCTTTTTTGTAACTACATTGTGGACTGTAACCGGGTAAGGTCTGTGTGCGTGTGCGCACCTCCACCGTTCCATGCTGGCTCACATAAATTTTGTTTCGTTGGTTCGGCGTTGTTATCTGGATCTTCAAAAAGTATTAGTTGCTGGCCGAAGATAGACTTCCGGGACCGGAAGTTTCTGCGAGAGTTTCCACACTGTGCTGGACTGTACACTACTGCGCCTGGCACTGCGTGCCACGATCTGTTTGGTACCATGCATGATGTGTACGGTCGGTGGTCTATCGCTTGTAAGTAATTAGTTGTAGTAATACATCGCGTAATAAATGTTGCCAATCAAATACCAACGCTATAGCCGATACGAATCTGTACATGACGAATTGACGATGTGTGTAGATCTACTAATATGACTGTAATACTATGCAGTCATGTAGAAAGTCGTATAATGCCATTTTTGGCCTCGTAATGCTTTATAATGCTCGTAATGCTCCGGGTGGTGTATAATGCTCGATATAATGCCGGCATTATCCGCCAACACCTACTGCATGGACTTCTGGGAGGGGCGAGCTCTGAGGATCGAGGCTGAGAGGCAATTCCATGTCTCAATCATTTGCGTTCCGCAAGAAATGTTCTACGGAAGACGCCCTCTGTGTGCTGACGGATAATCTGCAGAAGGCGAGAGACAGTGGCAAGATCACAGGGCTGTCAGTGTGCCTATAAGACATGTCGAAGGCTTTTGACAAAGTGCACCACGACGAGTTGATCCAAGACCTCCTTGAGGTTGTAATTTCTGGAAATGCCCTCAGTTGGTTCGTCGTCTACTTGTTCGGCCGCAAGCAGCAGATCCTCATCTCGCCTTCAACCAGCCCTGCTCTGGCTTGCACCTGCGGAGTGCCCCAATGCTCTGTTCTCGGCCCTATCCTCTTCAGTATAATTATACGCACGAGATGTCCCTTTGGTTTCCTCGCCTGTGCCAAGTGTACAACTAGCAGATGACATAGCCCTGCACGACTCCCAGGCCTCAGCGGCGGAAGCGTCCAGAACCCTCACCATAGCGGCAACTGCTCTGGCCGATTGGCTGAAGTCTCGAGGCCTCATCTTGAACGCCGCCAAGAGCAAGGTTCTAACTTCATGATTGTATCGCTTCCAGCATGTACAGGAAGTAACAGTCAAAAGCGGCGACTGTCTCCTCCCTTCAGCGTCTTCTGCGCGCTACCTCGGCGTTCACCTTGAGAATCGCCTAGATTGGGACACCCATCTAAACTATGTGGTCACCAAGGTTGCCAAGAAAATTGGCGCCCTGTGCCGCGCACGCCGAAGCCTATCAAGACGCTCTCGTCAGGTGTACGTGAAGGCGGTCATAATGCCCGACCTGCTTTGTGGTTCCAGCTGCTTTTCAGCCGCAATGCGAGAGGGGCAACTGAAACGACTGCAAACCGCGCAAAACAGAGCCATGCAGCCGCTGCTCACTCCTCACGCCCTGTGCCGTGTAAGCGAGCTATAATACAGGCAGAAAATATTGATCACCATCTGGCGGTGCATCCAAGCCCGCACCAGCCCTGCGCTCGCCCAGCTTCTGACCCCAGCACAAGGCACCCCTACCCGCCATTAGCAGTCAAATGGCCTACTAAGCCAGGCAAACCGTAGCCGCTGCGATCAGCGGAGATTTTCTGTTGCTGGTGCTCTGCTGTGGAACGCTCTCCCTGGTGAGGTCCGCAAAATTACCCGGCTACACGAGTTTTTTAAAGCATGCATGTGTACCATACGCCTGTAGGGAGTAGTTCGAGTTGCTGCTGATCGCTCTGCTCTCCCTCCCCGTGCAGTTCAGTAATCCTCGCGCAGTATCACAGATACATCGTATTCTCCCCCCCCCCCCCTTTACTCGCTTAGTATCCTAATCTCTTACTATGTGCTTCCATAGCCTTTACTATATTCTTCCATAGCCACTTCTAGGCTAAGTCTTCGCCATCATTTTGTTGGGTCGTTATCCCGTTTGAATGTGCGAAGTAAAATAAAAACCAGCCAACCAACCAAACATGTAATGGGGTAAGGACCGAAGGACATGTCATTGTTGCTAGACTGATATGAGGTGGTACAGTCTTGCCTTGGTCAGCTGGAATGGGTGGTGGCTCGCAATGGTGCGCACGCTGGCTCGGGTGCGGGCCCGGGCTGGGGCTGGAGCTGGCGGGGGTAGGAGGGCTGTGATCATGGCAGGACCAGTCACTGGCAGTCAGAGCTTGAAGTTGAACAGATAGCAGAGGGCAGCATGCAACAGAGCGACGGATGTCCAGGCTGGGCACGTAGCAGCTATCACCGATGACATGGAGTGCCCTATGTCGTTGGATGGCTGTAAGCTTGGCTAATAGTAATAGTGTGGAGGGTGCTGCGCTCATCCATACCAGCATCCCATATGCCAGGGTCGGCCGAACAAACCCACGGTACACTACGGCATGGCATCGTGAGTTGAGAGCGATGGCAGCCTTGCGGAAGAAGCCGAGTCGCTGCGCACCGCGTATGGCGAGAGACCGTACTAGTATGTGCTGCTTCAAGCATAGCCTGTCAAACGCGAAGGACTAAAGGGACCGTCACTTAAAGGGGCACTCCGGCTTCATTTTCGACGCCGAGTTTTCGATGCCAAGACGAAGGTTGGTGAAAGAGAAGACCCCTCGAACAAGAACGAGTCTCCAGAAGCGATCGAGTCGAGCAGGAAGACGACTTTTGAATTTCGCCGAGCGAGCGCTGATGACGTAATGAGGGATTAGCTTGCCAGTGGAAATGCATCTGCGCACATACATTTCACACACATTTTGGCCAATTTTCAATCGAAGAGGAGGTTGTTTTCTATGTTCTCTCAACGTCGTGAGCGATCCCGTCTTCTATACCCTTCCAGGTACCCTGAAGGTCCTCCAGAGGAGAATTTATCTCCAGCAAAGCGTTGTTGATCCGCTAAATTGGTCTCGAGACATATTCACCCAGTGCAGTGCTGACAAATGTAGAATGTTGAATCTGTGATAATTGTCGACGATGGACAGAAAGGTTGATAGCCGCTGTCGCAGGGAAAGTGAAGCTGCTGGAAGTAACAACGGGGAGCTTGTTAGCATCACTTGATCAAAGCAGCTAGACGGAATCGGGGAGTACTGACTATTTGTCTCGCCCTTAGTTTAGTGAATTTTATGATCAGAAATATTTC